CGGCATTTATAAGAAATTGGTTATTATCATATTGCTTCAGTTCTTCATTGTTTCCAATTCAGAAAAACCTGGGAAGTGACGATAATTTTTCTGCACATCCGAATACCTAACATTTCGCCATTGAGAATCGAAAAAGCTTTGTACATTTAAATGAAACTAATATTTTTGGGATTTTACTTCGCGTTTTATTTTAGAAAACTACATACTCCCGACGTTTCGGCTACTTTTCAGCAACCGTGATCACGGGCAGACGAGATGTGAGTGTCTGTCAGTTGGTCTGGTCATTTTATCTCCTACCGCCATCGATTTCTTAATTGTCTTGCGTACCGCTCTGGATGCCGGCAAAATGCGCTCACGGTGTCTCGAGGTCCTGCGGTGTGGTCACGGACATGGGATTTTATATTTTTAAGAAGAGGATCCCAGGTGTTTGATAGGTTCCAGCCATCTTCTCTATTGAAATTGGGGTGTTTTTTAATTTCAATAGCCTCGCGGATTAACCTTGGTATATATCTGTCTTCACGAGCGAGGATCTGTGGTTTATCAAATCTAATGTAATGGCCTGGTTTGTCCAATGCATGTTCGCACACTGCTGACTTCGACGCGCGCCTATTCCTGACGTCTGAAATGAGTTCCTTAACCCTTGTACCGATGCTTCTCTTTGTCTGTCCGATGTATGACAAGCCACAGTCACAATCAAGTTTATATACACCCGCTTGTTGTAAAGGAATGTTACTCTTGATTGGTCTCAAGAATTGGCTCACTTTCTTATGTGGTTTATGCATTGTACATTTTTCAAAATGTCTAAATAAGATGAGGCTGTTTGTAAAATTTCGGGATCTTTTAATTTAGTACTAATCGCTAAAGAAAATTGGGGTTCTGGATCACTACAATCATTGTCTTCATATAGCTGACGACTTACATTGTCATCTATATAGCTAGGTGTTTGATAACTACGATATTCATCATTATGTTCATTATTATTCAATCGATTTTTAAGATAATTGACCTCCTTAAACAATCTATCTAATTTCTTATTTTTGCGATGTCTTTTAGATTTATTTCGGTATGTTTAGAATTCGAAGTGTCACTTGAACTACTTATCGAACTACTACTATAAGATGATGAGCTCGAATCATCGCGATGTTTGTCATGCTTTCTTTTTCGACATGAATCTGATTTATTTATGTCTGAATTTACTGGATTTATTGTGTCACTCATTTTAATCTAGAAAGAATTTATTTTATAATGTATATTAAAAAAATATATTACGAACGGAAAAATCCGTTTAATTAATCATAAATACGCTTAAAAAAGATGTTTTTAACGGTATTTATATCCAAAGTGAGTATTATAATATTAAAAGAAATTATCTTATAACATTAAATTAATTTCACTGTTGCATAGAACATTATAAGTTAATATTAAAAGTTAGTACGTACTCGGACGTCGTATGCACTATAATAATCACATTAATAACACTTTACACTCTTTTAAATTTCTCACTTTGGAACCTTATGGAACGAAAAACAACAACTTAATTTAACTAGGATGGCGCCACTTAGTGGTGGTGGTAAAATTGAAAGAAAAGGATAAAACAAAGGAAAAAAGAGATAAAAAATGGAACGGAAGCGATGCCATATCTCATATATATACATATATAATTAGGCTTCGAATAAAGGTACAGTTGTTTAATAAAAATATTACGTAAAAATCACAAAATAAAATAAAAAATATGACTACATAAACTTAGGAAAACTTTAACTTAGAAAAAAAATAGTCAATAATTTTTTGTTTAAATACATAAAATGAATCACTAAGTAGGTCTAGAGTTGGTAATTTTTTGGAAATGTCATTATAAAATTTTGCTAATTGCTCTACGGGAGACTGGGATCCAAGATTAGTTTTTCTTTAGCTTAGATTAGCTCTTCTTAAATAGTCAAAGGTGGCTCTATACATAACGTGACCATTTATTTTTTGACTCAAAACGGGACATTGCTTTATTTAGGTTAAATCAAAAGTAGTAAATGAAACAAACAACGCTTTTTAAAGTTATTTATTCAGAAAATGTTAGTTGGCTTAAGAGAGAGTTACGATTCAGAAAGGTACGCAAAATGTTTATTTATGTTTATATTTATCAGAAGAACAAATTTGTTTTAATATAGCTGGTGACGATTTCAAGTAAGAATGAAACTCTTGACACGTTTTTTTTATATTCACCTTAATTATCAACATCGCCCTTAGAACTGAAATTTGTAACTGGGTTTTCTCGGATGTCCACAATTTATTCATAATAGAAAATACCCTTTCTACGGGAGCATTTGTAGCAGGCAAACATAAAATATATTCAATTATAATAGAAAAGTTTTCATGCTGAAGATTATTGGCGCGAAAGTGTTTGAATACTTCCACTCAACGGGTTTCTGTGGAAACATTTAAATTATTCCATTCCGTTACTTTTTGCGATGTGATGTAATTAGAAATTAATGAAAATTCGTCAAACACTTCAGTATCTTTATTACAGTCAATATATTGCTTTTGAATTAATACATCCAGAGATTTTTGAATGTCTTCCCATGTGGGGACCTTTTTTAAATCTGCCCAATAAAATATCTCCAAGCCCAATAAAATATATGGAGTGTATAGACTATACACTCCATAGATATATTTTGTGCTGATGGTAACAAAGACGAGTTAAACTCAAATAATGAGTAGAGACGGTAAAAAATATTCCAGTTGGCTATATCTTCAAGATTGTTATTGAATCATATAATTTTGTCATTATTGATGGTCCAACTCTTTCTCTAAATTTCTAAGTAATAATATTTGAAGAATTTGTTTCTGGCCGTAGATAGATACCAAGAACATCTGCATCTAAATCTCTTATTTATTCCAACAAGGCACATAGAATAGTCTACTACTGCGTTGGGATCGAATGGTACTAACAAAAACAACTAAATTCGTTAATCAAAGAGTTTGGTTTTCTGGTTCCAGAAGTTAACTTTAGTATTTGGTTAACCTTTGTTTTCTATAAGCTATAATTTTACAGTCTCTTTCCAAGCAGCTTTTGCTGGCTTGAAGACAGCTACTGTGCCTGGTTGTAAGATTCTTGTATTGTTTAGATACAATTCTATTACTTAAATACCATACTATTTGTACAGCTTGCTTAAGGCTTAGGCAATGGTTTGAAGAATTTTGTATTTTTTTCTTGCTTGGCAGTTTTCAAAAGCTCATTCTATTCAGACTGATATACAGCATCCGCATTTGCAATTCGCCTCAAACCTTCACTAAGATTTTTCATATTTGTAAATGTCACTGATTTAACGCGGCTGTAGAAATGGGTACTGATGTTTTCGATAACGGTGTCGTAAAACGAATGACCTGTTATTTCTGTAAATTTTGCAATGAAGGAGTATACGACCTAACAGTATCGTTATTTTGAGCCTCGTTATTATTAGTCGCTTTACTCAAGGGAGATCGTTTAGTTTCTAACGTGTTTAAACGTGTTGAGATTGATTTTAACGTTTTTTTCATATCACTATCATCTTCATGATCTCGGAATACGTTATGTTTCTGGATCGAGACTTACAGTCCCTAACGTGTCGACGCGACCTGTTGTGAGCCTTTGTTTGTCCGCCATATTTGGACGCAAACAAGACATAAAAGTCGAAATTTAATTATAATTGGTGTTTTATTTTACTTATAATTTCTGTTTTTATGAAATTTAGAGAATATTACATAAATATAACTATTGATGTGGATAATTAAGCGAACTCTTAAAAATGATGAAACTAACCTTAATTAGATCAGACTTATCTTAAATAATTTTAACTATTTATTATTAATAAAAGGAAACAAAACACCAATTACTTATATAATGTAATTTAATGTACTTACAGTATAAAATGATTAATAACAAAAACAACTTAAATTCAACCACTACTATCCCGCGGCGCAGTCTCAAAAGAGAGCCAATCAAATGTTTTATTGTAAACGTCGTCTCGGTTGCGTCCGGGAATTTTGATAGTTTTATTAAAATTTAAAGTGTGTTTCCTTAATACCTATATATAATTTTTTAACTCCCAGGACAAACTCACTGCTAATTTTTTAATTAACTTATTTTGTATTCTGACTAATGAAATAAACGCATTGCTATATGTAAAACCATTTATAACATAATTAACGACATTTTCGATTAAGGCCTGATATATTATTCTCAAAGTTTCCATTCATATCCATTTAACCCTAGAAGCCCAATCATATTTAACTAGTCATAAAGCCCAATCATACGTAAAAATGACGTGTAAAAATAAAATTTCAGAGTTTTCCTATTTTTTTCTGTTAATGAACTATATTTTTGCATGAGTTATCATAATTGAAGTTTTAATTAATAAATAAAATACATTTTATGTTAAAAATACTCTTTATTAATACAATTATGGCACTTTAATTAAATCTTAGAAAAAAATCAACAAAAAATCAAGCTTCTAACACTTTTTTCTTAAAAATGTGTAATTATAACAAAAATCAACTAGTTTTAAATGTTTTCATAAAATTAAATCAACTTGTAATAATACTTTATAAGTCTCTTCGAAAAATACAGTCTTTATATACAGTCTTGACAAACATCAATATTGTGTTCTCCACATACAGCCTTTTTGCATTTGCAACACTGCGCTTTGGTCATCCGCCTTTTTTTATATGAACAAAATCCACAATAACGTCGTTTCTTTGGTTCTGGCTCATCACTAATATTTTCCGGAGATGGCGGTACCACATTTTTTAAAACATTTGTTATATTGGCGCGCAGAGTCCTCTTCAAAGTAGGTGCTTGTAGCCGTTCTTGCATCCAAGGTGTCGACAGATCTGTGCTTAATTTTTTCATAAATTCTTTGCGGCTCATTGGTTTTTCTTGTTTATTTATCTTATTGTGACAGTATATTATACAGGAGTTCACAAACGCCATATTCAACATCCCGTAAAAGACCGCCATCGGCCACCTATTAGTCTTCCTGTTAGCAGACATAGATTTACACATCTGATCAAAGGAATCAACGCCGCCTTTTGTTTGATTATAAAACAATATCATGTCCGGTTTTCCGTTACTTTCATTGATAACAGCATCTTCATCACAGGAAGACAATAAAAATACCATTTTCGACGGCTTTGGTTTATAAGAAACCAAGGTCAAAGGGCCATCAAAGCAAAACATTGAGGATCCTACCGGCCGTGAGCGAGAATTCTTGATCTCTTCAGGTATCTCTCTTTTGTTAGACCTGATGGTTCCTACTATTGTTAGGTTGTATGGAGCCTGGAGCATGTTCTTAGCTAATGGGATAGACGTGAACCAGTTGTCGCAGGTAACATTTCTATTCGTGCCGTGTACTGTTTTAGTCAGCTCTTTTACATAAAACTCGCCCAGTGGTAAACCATTTGTTTTCGTACTTTTACCAAGGTAAGGTATGGCATCTATCATGTACTTTGTGGCAGCGTCACACATCATGGGGAATTTTATGCCATATTTGTCAGGTTTATTGGGAATATACATCCGGAACGGACAACGGCCGCGAAAACCTAACAATTGCTCATCTACAGTCAAGTTACTGCCAGGAACGTAGTTTTGTCTGCATCATCATTACGAAGAGTTGGTCGCAGTGTTTTATCGTCCATTCTCAAACATGTTATTAAAAATTCAAATCTGTCTCGGCTCATTACTGATACATATCTGGTGCCAGAGAATGTAGCGTCTAACAACTCATCAGTTGAGAGGTGGTTATCTTTCATAACAGCCGTCAGAGTGAGAATTCCGACTAACGCCCAGATCTCCATTGTATTTGTATCCCTGTAGCTTGTTTACTATCATCTCGACGTTTGTCCACTTGACTATTTCATGAATTATCTCGTCTGTCATAAAAAGTTGAAAACAGAGCAATGGGTCAACAATATTGCGACACATTCGCGTTGGTCCCCTATTTGTGCGTATAATATTGATAGCAGAAGTCCTTCCCGTCGTACGTCCCTTTGTAGTTGACCATACATGGTTGTTTTTTCCACGTATTGACCGCTGAGGCAAACTAATAATTCTGTGTGAAGTCAATGAAGTTACCTCAAGATTAGGCGATTCCCGAGAAGCAATATTGTTATCGGGGTCCTCTTGCCTGCTTGTATCTTCAACGAAATCGACCATCGCGTCCTCGTTATCACTCCAGACGTCATCTTCAACTACACGATCTTCTTCCTCGGAGTCCGAATCCAGCGGAGAATAATCGTCATCATTTTCTAAAATTGTAGCTATTTCGTCCTGGTTTAGCCGTTGACGGGACTCCATTTTGTGTTAAACCTGAAAATATTAATATTATATGAAAAATGAAACGAAACAATACGATTAACTCAAATAAATTACAAAAATAAAAAATTAGAAACAATTTCAAAAGTTACACAAAGCCCAATTATACGTCAAAATGACGTGCAACCTCTCTATTACAATAAAATGGCGGCACTTACCGAGATGACGCAACTGTGTCCTGCGAGGTCTCAATGGCTACTGAGTTGGTTCAGAAGTTAGCGGCGATCCGACGGTAAACGTGAAAGAGACAGAGATATTTTGCCGCGGTATACGTCAAATTTACGTAGATTGGGCTTCTAGGGTTAAGGAAAGTTATGTATTCTTTGTCAGTTCACTGTTTTGTCCTGGAATTCTGCAAAGATATTTTGGGACTTTGGATTATGTGCTGTAACCAGTAGAGTTGAATAGTTTTTGCAGTTTGGATTTTAAATACACTTTTCTATATCATTTGGAAGGTGATTGGTACATTTATTTTGCCCATATTTTTTTATTATAGTACTCACAGTTGACACATCTAATAGTGTTGCAAGTAGCCACTTTATGGTTATCAATGCGTTTAAGACACTTGCTCTCGTTTTTACAATGTACTATTGTGGTTTAATCGACCACAATTATAACACAGAATTATATTTATATCATCAATTACCTTTTACAGCATTGAAAACCAAGGTAAACTTTGCACCCATTTTTGACTATAATGTCATGAATCAAGTAAAATTTCGAGTATTTAAAGTACGGCGTTTAATCTTGTGCTTACAAACTAAACAATACTCTTATTAAAACAACAGGTAGGCGTTCGCGTCACCAAATATTAAACATATTTTGGGATGGAAATAATAGGCTTTGGGAATAAAAGATTATCTTTATTTAACAGAATTCGCGATATATTAATTTTTTCAACAACCAATCACACGCTCTTAAAGACTTACGTTTTTTTACATGAACAAAAATTTAAATAATAATAAATAATATACTTTATTGTGTACCACAATAACATAGTAATTTAACAATAAAAATGAAATACCTATATACAAAATAAAAGTAGATGCACAATAACGCGGTCTTATCGCTAGGTAGCGATTTCTACCAGACAACCTTATGGGCTTAGAAACACAACATTAGTTAATATAAAATTTAAATCCTACATAATTATTAAGTAACAAATCAGTCTAGAGCTAAACAGCTGTTGCTTTTATGGCTATTAATATTTAGTCTCTATATAGTTATAAATATATTAAAAATAAGTCAAAAATATAAAAACTTGAATGACAATATACATTCAAATCACTTTGGAAACAAACAAAATATAATATAATAAAAACTTAAACGTTACAAAATATGTATTTAGTGAGATTATGCCTAAATGAAATCAGTAAGATACTTCTATTTCTTAGTGTAAATGTTTTGTATAAGTACTTTTATTTTGAGCCAATTTCTATTATGCAGGAGATCTCGATGCTTTGCTTTAAGGGAATCACATTCATGTCTTTTAGGTGGTTGTTTGATTTTTATATGATGTTTAAAAAATGCACAGCACACTGTTTTTTTTCTGCAGTCCATGGTATCATCGTCCTCTTTTTGCCTTTCTTGATTTAATGAAGACATTTGTTTGAAGACCAAATGGTGCTGAGGTGGTGGTGAAGTTGATCGCGGTAGTCGTGTCGTATTTTCTGTTATATCTTGCGCTCGTCCACGTGACTCGACATCATAATCTAAAATTACTTTAAAATTCTGTCAACCTTTCCATCTAATCTAATTGTTCATTTAAATCAAGTTCAATCTCATCCTGGGATTTGTCTCTGAAAATGTCTGCTTTCCCATCTTCCATAAGGATGAGCAGTTTAGATATATTGTCAGTTTGGTACACATCCGATAGCCGATAAAATTTTTTGTGTACATCATTTGTATGGCCCATAAATGTAGCTGGCTGTGTTCTATTTCATTTTCAGACTTATTGAATTTTTGTGATAACGTGACTAAATGTTTCCAAAGCCTTGTAGATGACATTGATTTCGGATTTTTTGCTCCTTCGATCGAGAGAAAATTTTGATTTTCATTACTTAAACGAATATGGTTGGTTACACAGTGGTATCTTTAGTATCGAGTAGGTCTTCCTCGACTACGAATGCATTCTTTGTATGGGACACTTTCAATTAAATGGGTAATGTTTTCCTGTGGTATCTGTTCCCAGCACACTTTTAAAGCATTTATGAGCCACTGTTGATTGTGAACTTCATTATAATTTTCTTTTAGGTTCTGATAACATTATTATTAAATAAAGGAGATTGGGTGAAAATAAACTACACTTGTTGTAACACAGAATCACAGAGACTGAGAGCATTTATTGAACTGTCACAGATTATAGATTTACATACATATGCATAGACTTACTATGGAATGGCAAAATTTAGTAATTAGTTTAACAGGTTTCTTTTGTACTGGTCCCATAAATATTCGATTGGGTTGAGATCGGGGCTCATTGCTGGCCATGGTAAAACAGAGATATTGGCTTCAGATAGTGCCCTCTGGGTTAGGCGAGCCGTATGCCCACGAGCATTATCTTGCATTAGACTGTAATGGCTCGAAGGCAAGCTGGCAGTGCTCAGATACTCGCAGAAACTAGAGCATCGTTGATTAATCGCTTTGGTTGTGGATAGGGGTGTGTTCTTTGATAACATTGAAGTTTTAGTTTAACTTTGCTTTGAACGACCAGTCTATATAATTAAAAATACAGTTAGAGAAAAATATCGTTTTATATCATATTGTATTACATCGATTATATTAATATTTACATATAATTTAGCAATATCATGTTGAACTTACCCTCCGTGGTACTTGCTTCATGCTATATTTATGTATTGTACAATTTATCGTTGGCGTAAAGGTTGTATATAAAATTTAAACCTCTCTAATGTGTGATAAATTGTAATAATTTACTAGGTAAAGTTTGTCACTTTCAGGTACCCACTTTATCGCCGTAAAACCCGTGACGAATTTATTATGGTAAAGTTCGATCAAGCAAGCGTCCTGTCTCTGACTAAGTTTGTTTTACAGTTGTTTTTTTTCCCTTGTCTTTAAATTATATTATTTTATATTCTTAATAAAACGTTCGCCTTCTCTTCTCCACACTCGTACGCGTCTGTCATCACTATAAAACTTAACTTTACTCTCATCTGTGAAGAGTACAGTCCTCCAATTGTCCATAGTCCAGTCCAAATGCTCACGTGCGAACCTAAGACGAGCTGCACCTCGTAAGTTTAATGCGAATAACACGCATTCTGGATCGTTGTCCATCTTCACGGAGTCTGTTGCGGATGGTTTGGTCGTTTACCCGAGTTCCAGTGGTTTGCCGGAGTAGGTTTTGTAAGGCACGGGCAGTAATGGTACGCTCTCGACTACCAGTCTCCTCATAGCGTTCCCACACATTTCTGATAGCTGGATGGATGACCACAACAATCCAGAAAGTTGCTAACCTTATCTTGTAATTGACTGTGCCTGGAAACTTTTGGTGTAAGTTATAAAGTGTGTCACATAAAACACGCTTTTGTTGACCCTCTCCAAAAATTTTGGTACATATATCGCATTTGACCTTCAGCATTTCAGTCCAAATTTTTTGAGGTTTTTGGCTTTTTGAAGAATCATGCTTAAAAAAAGGTTTCGCTCCATTTAGTAATTTATATTTCTGCAATAATTTCAGCTTGAACATGTTGTAATAGTTTTTATTTTTTTCATATTTCTTTCCAAGATCACGGTAACTAGGTTTTAGGTCTTTTGATAAAGCTTCTCCGAAAATTAATTTCTTTACAATATCCGGAACTTGTACATTCTTCAATAGTATATTTACCTTAGTTGTAGGAGATTCATCTCTAGTTTATGTTTTTTTTCCTTGTGGCTTAGTCTATTAACAATCCATCTTTATACCTAAATAATAAGGCATAAGTTGTTTGGTTCCAACCTTTGTTAGTAAACGATTCACAAAATGTTTTTCTCCATATTGCCCATTTCGAGTCTAAGGTCAATTTAATAATCATTGAACTGTACCAATGGATATAACTCTTATCCATGAATAATCTTAATATTTCTATCATCTCTACCACATTAAAGCGTGAACATTCTTTTTCAATCCATTGGCCATTGGATCCATTGGCCTGCATTTGAATTTTTACTACAAAATTTTTCATTTACAAACTTCTCTGCAATATTTTTAAGGTTATGTTGTTATGGTTCTTGTGTATTTTGAAGTGGTTTGGATTTGAGTTTTCAATCAACAAATAGTGCTCGGTCTAACCTGACCATGAGATAATCAAGGTGTTCATTCTGAAGAGGTGTATTTATTTTATTTAGGTTATTATTGAACTAGTGTTGGACTAGTTTGAGACTATGTGTCAGGTATTGAGAATCTTTAATACGAACAAAAGTAACTCCGTTTCTATTGAGAACGTCGGTCCCGATAATGACAGGTGTCCACATACATGACGCGAGTACAATCATAAAGTCTACATCTATTTTATTTATTTATTTTGAGGCCCACTAGCAGCTACTACATGTTTAAATGCCGAATATAAAACAATTAAATCGAAATAGTTTACATGTGTAGCTTTTTAAAGTGGCCACAACGATTACAATGTTTTAAAAATATATTAATATATAATTACAGCGAGAAAGATCTAAATAATAATAATAATAAGTAAAAATTGATACAAATTAAAAACCACAAAAAACAAACAAGTACTTAATAAAATTAAAATTAACAAATTCATGCATAAAAATCACTAAAAATATTCAAATCAATATAAATAGCTATTAAACATTTATAATTTATTTATTTGCATCTCTCAATAATTGTAGCGCCCGTTTACGAAATGTCATGGCAGAGTTACTAAAAATCTAGTATTATATTTCTAAACTCAATCGTGAATATAACGAATTCGCGAGCAGCAAAATCGTTATTACTAATCCCTTTTAACACACGATGAGTCGGT